TCCGAGGTGACTTGATCGAGACATTCAAAATTATGAATGGACTATCAGGAACGGAGCAAGAGGTGTTCTTCGAGAGAATGCAAAGCAATACCAGGGGGCACATGTACAGGCTGAAGAAATTGCGCACGAGACTAGCGGTGCGTTCGAACNTGCCGCCGGAGCTGGTAGAGCTAGGGAGCGTATATACTTTCAAGAAGGAGCTCGATAAGCGCTGGCTAACTTTATTTCCCGAAACAGACGCATAGGTGATGACCTGGAAACAGGAGTGGGTTTTTCGTTTACTAACCACCCCCATCCGGGGAACGCTTCTGAACGTGAGGTCTCTCGCCTGAACAAGGGGAGAAGATACTTTTTCTTTACTCTCTTCCCTTGCAGAGACGGAGACAACTGAGACGTGAAGAAAACGTGTAGAACTGCAATATAGAACACTCGCAGTGGTAGGGGCCGGAACGGGGCTTACTACCGGAGGAAGTCTGGACGCTCGATTGGCCGTGGCCATCTCCTGTCCTGTGCAAACTGACTGACTGACTGACTGACCAAGGTCAAGGTCAGATTTTCGCGCTCGTCCCAGGTTTTGTGCGCGTTGTTCATGTCGTGTTTTGGTCTGTTCAGGATGTACTATACTTTCCGACTACTCTATCCGGATATTGAATTCCGTCCAGCATTATTACAGTTATGAATCGTAATTAACGTGTCAGAACTTTAAATTAAAAATTAAATACTTTCCTTTTCAAAATGAATAGAACTTACCGCTGCTCAGTTCAGTTCAGTTTGCATAGAACAGAATATGGCCACGGCTATTTACGTTTAAAAACAGTGTTCTCATTATTTATATATATAATATATATTCACATATATCATAAGATTCCAAGTCAGTTGTTCGATTTAGGTGTGTTCCTCATTCCTCACCATGCTCCCGAGTTAAAATATATTTATAAGTTTTATGCCGACCAAAAGAAAACATCGCGAGATGCTAACATTTCGTTTAATTTCTTCAATCGCTGGCGTATTTTCAAGTCCCAGTGAATGAAAATGTACAATTAGATGGGTTATTGTAATTAAAAAATTGGTCAGGTCATCTCAGGTTGCACAGGACTAAATATGTCCACGGCCAATCGACCGTCCAGAATTCCTTCGATGGTACGCTCACTACGTTGACTGAAATAAGAATGATTGACGAATGAATTGTTAGACGCCAGCGTACCATTACATGCACCAGTGGAAAAGAGAAATGGCATCTTAAACAATTGGCACACCTACACTCATCTACACTGCCAGAGATGAGAATAGGTCCACCCATCGCTTATCAAGTGCAGTCCTAAAGGCCTGCACTATATGAAAGTCGACTACTTCCTTGGGAAGCCGGTTCCGTCTATCGACTATCCTATTGCTGAAAATGTGCTTCCGCATGTTTAGCCGACACATCTGTTTCCTGAGCTTCAACTCATGCCCCCTAGTGCCGCGTTGGCGAGCTAATGTGAAGAGACTGCTTGCTTATATCCCCGATATTCTCTCCACGATTTTGAAGATTCCTATCAGGTCCCCTCACAGTCTCGTTTCTAATGAGTGAAGCCCTAGAGTCTCTAGTCTTTCCTCATATGTTCTCCCCCTTTGGCTTTCAACCATTCTGTTGGCACTTGATCTGATTAGTCACACCTCACTTATTACCAACAGTTTTGCATTGCTGTTGCTTAACAACGGTTTGAAAGAGGAAGCGGGATCAATTATGTTTCGTTATCATGTTTTGCAATTAATGACCTCGGGTTGTGTGACTGCCTGATTACGATGGGGAGAGGGTGGATGGGTTGTGTCATCGACTTCACCAGCCACTTTGGAATGTTTTCGGTCATCCGCTGTGATAAGTGACGGTTGTTTCTGCCTTCACCGCATCTGCAGGTGAACTGGTAGTGTTCTAGACATAGCCGGATTGCCAACCATGTACACATGTATCCAAATCGATTCCACGAGTAGAGGCAATAAGTCGGAGTTGAGCAACCGGGAATGTGCGGTTGGGAGCTGACTTTAACTTTTGGCGCACATCGTTTAGAAGGTGATCGCCCTTAAAACATAGTTTGATGTAAACGGCTTTCTGGGGAACAGTTGGTGATGGGTTACCTTTTTGAAATTGATTGCTATTAATGTCAATGAATCTTTCGGGTTAACCGTTTCGTAAAAAGTTCTCTTTTGGAATTCTTCTCGTGGTGTGTCTGGGGAATAAATGCTTCTGGCTTGATGGAACAGAGGTTTACGAGTCCACCTTTGTAAGCCATGGGTAAGAAGCTGGAGAACTGTAGATATTGGGCACTCCATGTTGCTTTAATGTGGATAAGACGCTGTAATGTACCATCTAAGCACCTCGTAATTCTAATATCCAAAAATGCTAAGGAATTGTTGCTTTCTTCTTCACGGGATACGGAAATGTGTAGATGAACAGAGTTAAATTGTCTCAAAAGAGGTTCAAAATGTTAACGCTCCGTAAGAATAAAAATATCGTTCCCATAACCTGTACAAGGTGGGCTGGGAGATATTATTGGCAAGATTTTGTTCAATCATTTCCAAAAATACAGCTAGAATTACTTTGGATTTTGTTCTAAAGAAATTTCCGCTTTTGTCCCTCTCCCGCTTATTCTTTAGCGTAGATTCCACGCACAAGCGGCTAGTCACCCATTTCAAGTGACTATCCCCAGGTGTCACATTTCTAACTTTCAATCATCTTTTTCCCAGGAACAGCACAACTGTGGAACACTCCCCCTTTCGGTCTTTCCTCCGACGTACAACATCCATGTTTTTAAACGCAGAATCAACTAGCTGGTTCTAGCTTGAATGTTACCCATACCTTCCCACTTACAGTATATCTTCGGGTCATGGGGTTGACTCCCTTTACTGTATTCACTTCCGTGTAATAAAAAGCGTGATCCTCCCAGTGCATACGGTAAAATCAAGGGGGGGGGGGCTGGATTTCTGCTAGTGTTATTGATCCTCAATGTCACGCAATACGTTCAATCTACCTGCTGTCAATTTTTTTCCCCATACACAATTTGATATACGTTATCGAGTGAACTGCAGGTCTTATATCTATGCATCCTACCCTCATCCAACTCGTTCATTCTCCACTGTCTGACCACTATTTTTACAACAATACCTGTAAACTTGGTCCACATCGCTCTGGTGNTAATTTTTTTCCATCGTGTCATGAAACTCACACGTAATCAATACAATTCTGTTCCGTATCAAGTTGACCGACTTACTAACGGTTACTCCACTTATTTTGGTCTGATTTTGTCTCAATACTTTTGGGCTTCAGTACGTATATGTGGGTAATTCGGGGTGGGGGTGGGGAGGTCTCGGTGATGAAAAGCAATCGTAAATGGTCTTGATTCTCCAATCATCTGTTAGATCTGTCAACATAGCTAACTCTCTCGCAGCTTTCTCCCACTTTGCTTCTTTTCCGCCCTACGCTCATTCGCCACAGTTGTATTACTTTGAAAAGAGTAATATTATAAGCGCTTGGAAACATGGAAATGGGAAGTGTTCCACAGTTTCACAGTCTTGGGAAAACAGATTGAAAGAGAAAAGTCTGACATCTGGGGACAAGTCTCATAAGGGCGACTGCCCACCTGAGAGCCAGATGGGCGAGAAAAGGTTAATGGAAGGGGAACCGCTGAAGCGAGTTCGGAAGAGCAGAAACCAAAATAGTAATGATAGAAAAGAAGTAACGAAGCAACTTCCTGGCGATGGGAAGTTAAAGAGATTTCTTCGATCATTTGGACGGCTTTACGTTGAACACGGTATAGGAGAGAAAGAGCGGAATATTAGGCTTCACCCCATAAATGACTGAATTATTCTAGCATCGGGCGGATTTGAGCTTTGTGCAAAAGGAGAAGCGCTCGAGTGTAAAACAGGCGCTTTGCGCGGAATAGAAAACCAACTTTGCACGCAGCGCAAGAGGCGAATGGGGAAATAAAGGCGGAACACTGCGATCGTTGGTCTATGGCGGGTCTGACACAGCTCAAGGTCCTAACGCCACGTAAAAGTTTTATCAATAAATTTACGGCCTCCGAAAGCCCCAGTATGGTCGGGGGTGGGTGTATAGGGTTGCGGCTGATAACCATTCCCTTGCATCTCACGAAATGCTCCTATACGACCAAGCGTCTCAGACAGCCTCTGCTGAGGAAGCCCTACTCACTGCCTTCTCGCGGTGGTGTTTGCCCACCAAAGTGAGAGAACGAAAAGCTGACATCCGGGGCTATAACTGGGTTGGTGAACCACTGGTAGTTCACCTAGGGGAGTTGGCCAAAAACACTGATTCCGAACCAACCAAGAAGAAGCGTATGTTACCGCACGCATACTTTCCTGGTTGTGGCAGTGGTTACTGGTTCGATTGGGCATCAAGGTGTATTGGGCACCTTTGACGTTTGACCCCGTTCAAAGGGCGTATGATCCGATGAACTGGACACCGGCCCCCAATGGATTGCGGTTTTCGCTCACCGCTTCACTGCCTTGAGGGTCAGGCTATGGCTAGCCAAAGGCTGCGGTTGTTGGTTCCTCAAGAAAATTCACCTGCCTTGGTCTAGGCAACCTGGCAGTATTTCGCCCACATGCAAAGGATGGAACGTTTTTTCTTTTTTATAAAGATTATTGTACCATGATTTGTTTGGCACAGCCTGTCCTCGAACAAGTTTGAAATAATATAATAATAATAAGTTTACTTCCACGCCTGAATCCGGTTTGCTTTTCATGGCTGATGGTCTCCCTTAAGTATGTCAGACGTCGAAATATGACGAAGGCTAGCACTTCGGTGACGGTTGCGATGGTTTTCGAAATCGTTGCGAGATCGCTTCTTGAAAATGAGAGCCATCAGTGATTCACCCCAGGCTAAAGAAATGCTGTCGTCCGTCCAAATGTTTTAATTTAAGGTGATGATAAAGCTCACGAGCTTGTCGTCCCCCAACCTGGAAGAGTAGAAAGGAGCTTCGGAGCGTAAATGCACGACCGAACTTCTGCTTCTGCCAGAGGATCGTACGTCAATGCCCACGGGGCTTCAGTTGCAGTTGAAATAATCTGGCTAGCGCCAGGCCAGCTAAACTCTTCGCTAAAGTATTCCACCCAGCGGTCAAACCGTTGATTCCTATCGTGAATAACCTGTCCCGTTTGATCGCAGACTGTATCGCTAGCTTGAGTTCGCTGACCTCCCATATTGCGTATCAGTTGGAACACTTTTTGACTATTCCCTGATACTACCTGCCACTAAACGGGATTCGTCGTCACCTGATGTGCGAAGAACGTATCTCGAGGACAAATCTGGAGCGCTCAAGTAGCTTATAGTAGTAGGATCCTGAATTCGAGTCTCCGACAAGCAGCAAATGTCGACCCCTAAGAATTCCGTTGCACATGCCTCGACAAACTTGTTGACCTGCCTACATCAGAGTTCTCACGTTGAAGGCCCCCAGATTCAGTGATTGACGAGGATTTAGAATCTTTAATCCCTTTGTGGTAAACTACTCATAGTGCTATTTAGCAACGATCTTTGGTGAGCGACATCCGGGTTGCTTGAGAGACTAATACAGATCGGAAGAAGAGGCAAATCGAGAGGACGGGTACAAGTGACAAAGAATTAAACAAAGGTTCCAATTTCTGAGCAGTATTCCACTTATCGCCACCCATCCTGCTCGATGCAATGGGCAGCGCGGCCCTAATTATCCTATGCGACGACCGATGCATTATGGAGTTATTTTTAATTTGTGTATGCATTGGGAAAGAGATCTGGGCATTGTCTCCAATAGTCTTAAAACCCGAGAGCTAACAGAGAGCTTGCGCTTACCAGGGGAGCATGTTAGGCGCAATTCGTCCTGCATTCTGTGCACTACCCCTTTTATGTTTTAGGTTACTGTTTGCCTTTCGTGTACGCCTTTGACAGAAATGTGGTGTGCTCATGTACCGCTTCTTTGGTCACCCCATTGAAGAGAATTCAATAGATTGTTGCGGGCTTCGTTGTTGGTCTACATGAGATCGAAAATGCAGACGCAATGTTGGAGTCCATAACCATCAACCAACAGCTCAAACGCTCAGGGGCCGTATCTGTCATGTGTACCTTGAACTTAACTGAAGGTTACGATGTTGGTTCCCCTGGCATACAGACGTAACATAGGTTACTTGACCTACATTAAAATTCTGGTCCGGAACTGCCGTCCGAATCCCTACTAAGGAACAACGACCACACCAGAGAACATTCTTTGACTTTCAGTAAGAATCATTCTCTTGGTCTTCTGCTACCATCTGTCAAGAAGGGTATCAAATCTCTGAATTACTGTGCTGGAGGATGTTATGAAAGAGCCAGACGACAGTACTTTCAAATTGGATAAAGCTATACAGGAGTACTGGACGGGTAACGACATGTATATGAAAAAGGATAAAGGTAGACTGTTGGTATTTGAACACCGCTATCTACGCCTCTTTGCACGAGTCTGGTGGGGAACTGCTGAGATTAAGCGCAGAGTAACCAGGGTTACCCACTGGAACTCAGTGCTCACCTTCTCCTTTTCAATATATATATATATATGCCTATTTCGATAAAGTTTTACTTTTTTCGTTTGAAATTCATATTGACTCGNTTTATTAATTAATATTATTATTACTTGATTCCAGAGTCCAGTTCTCCTCAGCACCGATCACAATGGATACATGCTAGTAAACTCAGCCTTATCCCCAATAGGGTTTATTGACCAGCCTGCCAATACGTTCTCTTGTTTGCCTCTGTTTTTCTGTCATTATGAATGGGTTCCAGTCGGATCATGTACGGGAGGTGTCGCGCAATTTGTCTCAGCTGTTCAAAGAAGGCCAGTTTTGCGATGTTACTCTGTCGCTTCACGGCACCGAATTCCAATCGAATCGCATGCTTCTGGCCGCGTCTAGCGCGTATTTTCGTGCCCTGTTAGAATTCGAACCCCAGCTGATGCAAAAATCCTGCTTCGATATCAGTTCTCCTTATCTCACCCTAGACGGATTTTCTTATCTGATCCGTTTTATCAACACCCTAGGACAAGACTGCCCGACAATTAACCGCGAAGCGTATGAATCCGTGTATGTGGCAGCTAGTTTTCTTCAGGTTACCTCTTTGCAGCGTATGCTAAGCGAGTTAATCAGTCAGAATCTGACTCCTACGAATGTGCTTGGTAAGTCATGTTGTTTGGCACGCATACCCCCTCCCCCAATCCCTTTAGGTGCTGTCAAATTGGCACACGTATTTGACGATCAGGTGCTGTTCCGCAAATCCATGTTCTTACTGTTGGATCAGTTTGATGAAATCGATCCGTTCTCGGAAGAATTTTTACTCCTTGATGAGAAACAGTTGGAACACATCTTGTCCAGTGATGAGTTAAATGTGGCGCGAGAAGGTGTTGTGGTCAAAGCTCTACTGGCTTGGGTCTGTCACGATGTGGAGGCGAGAACGAACTACTTTCGTCGCATGTTTGTACGACTTTTGCGGTTACCACTGGTATGTCTCATACCCCACTTGTCGGTTATTATGTTGTGTTATAGCTTTACACATGAGTTGTCGAACGTCCGGGATGTTTGCTATCACTGATATTTTAATCACACCTCAAGATGGATTTCTTTATCACGTTGTGCCCATCATAGCTAATTTGCTTTGAATGAAAATACAATTTTGTCCTGATTTTTACACTACTAATCAAGGAACAACAGAGAGGACAAACCCCATGGCCACGAGGATCTATTGGCTACTCAAGATGGTGGTAGACCGCACAAGGCCCCCACAGTATTGAACCCAAACGGCAAAGCTGCATGCCATTAAAGTGAGGTGGTAGCGGCACTGTTCGCTTCTCTCCAGTCAAACCTTCACCGTTGGATCAGCAACAGCAGAAACATTTAGTTTTTAGCACGATACACGCCAGGTCTTCAATCGCTCACACTCTACAGTTTGGAGTCTGACATCCCTTAAGCATTGAGCAATACTTTTGTCTGACATTATAAGCGAAGAAAATCATTCCTCATCGATCAGTTCATATAGTCTTAACATACAGTAGCCAAACGTGACCGAGTTAACCTCATCCACCTTCTGCACTTCTCTTTCTCTCTGCTCAGTACTCGGTCTTAGAATTAGATCAATACCAATTTGAGCCCGAACAAGTTGAACAACGAATAATCTGGGCTCCAACGATGAAGGCGGTAATCTCAAAACGGGCACTGTTGGGACGCCTTAGGCTTCCAGTTTGGGGTCCTTGAGGACGGAAAATCTATGACTTGAGATACTGTCTGATTTGGCTCGAAACCGTCGTCAATGGTGCACTTGTTGCGAGACTTATTCGTTAATTTGTAATTTGAGCTTTTTTCACACTTTCAATATTTGTTACGTTTGTTATGTTCTGGTTAGACGTACGATCAATACAAGCGCCTCCTGCCTAGACTCCAAAAATGATGCGGGAGAAAACACGACTGGAGAACAACATTTAGAGTGTATTGTATTGATCGTATTCTCCACACGTAAATACAGGTGGGTTAGTTGGGTGTACGAGAAGGACGTTAACGCACCAATCAGATCGCGTCCTTGACGCTCTGATTAGTCGATCGGACGACAGCTGTCTGATTCGCCTAAGTCATCCAGTCCGTAATGGGCTCGCCTTGGGCATCACGGGCTCACTTGCGAGGTTATGCGGATTCATGCCCGGCTTGACGGGTTCTGTGCGCTCAGTCCTAACAGTCTGCCAGTTCTATGTAATTGGTTGTGTAAAAGTATATGGATGAACTGACAAAAGATTACCAGATATGTATGCTTGACGAGCGGCAAGAACTGCGAAACTGGTCGTGGGGGGAATTTTGTCCAGTCATTCATATACTACTTATTATAATGTGTATATATATCACACGAAATCCAAGGAGGGAATTCATCTCATTGAAAAATTTGGGCGTCGTGCTTATGTCGTGCTCAATGTATATATATAATTCTAGTATATTTATCCGAATAGACCAAATCACATAATTTATTATGTGACAGACAGTGAGGTAACAGTTTGCTGCCCAGCCGATTCTGTTGTATTCATGATTATAGTTAATAGTTAACATTCCTAGCTGAAATGTTTTCAAGTCTGCTAATCTTATATTACCGCGTTATTCTTTCTCTCTCCCTTTCATTATACTCGTTTTTCTTTCTTTCCTCCAGGTTCAAGCTAACGACCTCCGACGCATTGTCTCAAATCCGAAATTCGCAGCCGCACATGAAGCTCTTAGTTTGTTAATCTGGGCTTATCGTACTCTGACTGGGCCGTTTGTTTGCCCTCAGGCACTGCCCGAGCAGGGACCACCGGATGTGTCCGTATTGCCGGAGTTCGATCATATCTGTCGACCGCGGATTGGGACCAATTTTCGTATCCATGCCATCGGTGGTGTAGATGAGGTAATTAATCGAAACAATCAGTATGGTAACCCGACGTTGTGCGTTGAACAGTCAAAAGAATGAGGGTTAAAAGTTTCGGTCATGGGAAGGGACATCTTAGGCTCGGGGATTTGGAATGGTGAACCGCTTGATGCGCTGTATTGAACTGCCCTGTTGATAACAAAGCTGTCAATATCCTTTCAACGATATTTGTGCTGCATTGGTACAGACCTAATCGCCAGAATGAAAGGGGTATCACTCCACGACTTCGCGTAGGAATCTTTTTCAAAGCTGGGTACTCACATGACTAGATCCCAATTGTTAACCGACCATATGTGCTGTACGGTCGGATAGTGCGCAGTGCGGATCAGCAGCAACAGAATGAAACGTCGTATCGAGATCGAGGTCAAACAGTGCTGCTTTGAAATAGAAAATTGTTGCTGTTGTTTCCCCAACACCCAGCTCCTGTTGTTTGGTCCTACTCTCCAACGACGAGAAACGTGAACGTTCTCCAGCCGGTCTTTTCCTAATCGCCTGCGCAGGATGGTAAACATGATGAGTAGATTCACGACCGTCACTGTTTGTGACACTCAGCCATATCACTCAGTGTCTCTAACCGGCGTTTACCACGATCTCGTGATCCCCATCCAGGGAGCCTAACCTTTGTTACTCAATGTTCTGGTCTTGGTTTGACCACCCTTAACCTTTTTCACCCACTACTTACCTCGGCAAACGTCGCTCACTGTGGTAATCTATTTGGTGACATGCGCAGCACGGTCCCCACCCAGCGTAATCTATGAAAGCCGACTATTTGCTCCAGTGGACGGCCGCGAATATCTAAAACTCCACATCTAACCGTAGCATTGCTCGTCCTGTTTCCTCACCATACTCCTGCAATGCGACGTAGACAGCGGTGGTCAAACACCAACAATCTATGTGGGCAGATGTGGCTAGATTTACTGGTTTAGCGAACTGATCATCAATTTGGACATGGCCCAGTAAGAGCCACATCAGCAGGAGCATTTCACCAGCTACTAGGGAATAGTGAGGCTTTCTGGGTGTTTCATTCAATCTGGTCACACATGAACAGTCTCTCGTAACCAATTCCTGTTTATTTCTGGTCTTATCCACATTCTTATCCATATCTTCAGCTTGCCA